TGTAAAGAATAAAAAATTTTATTAAAAAAAAAAATTATCTAGCAACCTTTTCTGTCTTTTTCTTATTACCTGATTGCTAGGTGAATTTATCAAGGCACTATATGAGTCAGATGAGAACTGTGAAGTAGATCCCAGCAAGAGTCCACCCAGTGAATTAGCTGATCACCAGGCAAATCTCAAAATGTGTTGTGAGCTGGCCTTCTGCAAAATCATCAATACCTACTGGTGAGTGGATGAGGGATTATTTCTGCAATGGGTTGTCATTTACAGGGATTACTTGCTTAAAGTAATGCTAAAAAACCAATTCAGTTTTGGAATATGTTAAGCATTAAGAGATATTTAGCAAAATGAAAGGCAGGTGGTTCAATGAGTCTGAAAGGCATCAAGAGAGGTATCCTCAGACACCACATTGCCTGTCTGTGGCTTAAGATTCATGCTGCTACCTTCCATCTTCCCTTGTTTCACTAAAAATGTAATGTTTTAATTGTGAGAAGTAAAGGATTGCATAGGCAAAGTAAGCCAGCAACTGTGCCTCTTCAAACCCAATTAATAGGAATTAGACTGGGAATGGTATGTGTTTCTTACATCATTTTTTACACAATGCTGCATACTTGAACTCAAGAGGAACTGAGACTATGCAATTGACTTTATACATACAAAGAAACATGCATCTATTTATATTTTAGCTGAGCTGACTCCTTCTATAACCAAAATACAGAATCTAAGGCAAATCAGAAGATGCATCTAGAGTACTTAATGCTTCTCATTCTCCTGTAGAAATAATAAAAGTTTGAGTAGCAAAAACTAGGCTACAGCTATGAAACATTTGCCATCTATCCCAGTCTTTTCCTGATGATGTACCTTATTTTTCTGTGGTTTTCCCTCAGAAATCATGTATTAGACTGTGACATCACTGATGAACTAGAGTTGGACCTAGCCCAATAGGCCAACCCCATCCAAAGCATATCAATGTCACTCTCTTGTTCAATTTTCAGTTTATTAGGAATGAAATTTGTGACAGAGGAGCTCATAGTTCCCAAGTTCATGAAAATGGTTATGTCAGCATAGTTCTTGTGATCTTGAAGAAATAGGGGAAATATCCTTTGACTCAGAAAATGGGAGGAAAAAGCCTGGAGCATAGAGATGGGTGGGAGGCCTTGATTGCTATGAATTACAGTAAGCAGATCTTCTATTCTGGCAATAAAATAACCTAGCCAAGTTCAGTCTGTGAGCCTTACACCAATAAGTTAAGTACTGAGCAGGGATTTCAGAATTTGGAAAACCTAGCTGTGCACAGTACTAAGCCTGACACCTGTAGCCGTGAGCTTTGACAGTTTCTTGGTCAATTAATGCTCATTGATGGATCTGCACCTGTTAACTTCAGCATTTGATCATTTACTTATGATTTAACCCATAGTAGTGTTTTAATGTCTTAACTTTCTGTGAGTTTTCCTATTTCAAGGTAAAAGCTAGCTAAATACATCAGCAAATTATCTGAATGTGGAATCATAGTCTTTTGTTGTTGTTGATGATGATGATGATGATGATGATGATGATAATGGCCACAGAGTAGATTGTGGAGAATAAGATATACAAAAATTGTGAAGCTCTTTGTATCATCTAAAACGCTGTGGAAATTAACAATATTTAATTAAGAATAAGCATGTGTCAGTTCTTTATATTGCTTGAACTGGGAAGTGCCAGGCTATAAGGTTCTCCTTTCTTGCTAATGAAATAATGTTTCATAACTGCGGGCTGTTCATAAGTTGGAGAGTTACTTAAGGAGAGCCTACCTGCATTTGAAAAAATGTATGTTTGAAATTCCCCATGAAAATATCATGAAATTATATAAGCAGTTGCAGGGAAAAAAATAACAGCCTGTTCTGCACGAGATGTAATAAATAACAGGACTGTCCATGAAATCACAGTCTAGGAGTGGAATCCCTCTTCTTCTGTCATAGCTTGCCCTTCTAGGACAAGTACTCTGCAAATATATTCAGGGTGAGGTGGAGCAGGAGGATCATACATTACATCTCGTAAGGCCATCAAATAAACTCACATATGTTGTCTTGCCTGATGGGTTGGAGGCAACTCTTTGTCTCCACAGGTTACTAGATGAGTATTGATGGATAATTCTACCCTAGGTAATTTTTTTTCAAGTGTGAAGACAAGAAATGCCCTTGTCATTTGATAAATAAAATGTTGGAATTTGATAGTAATGGAAGAGAAGCAATTTCACTTGTTTATCCTAGTGGGAATTTGAAAATATTGTATTTTTTTCAGTGTCTTTCCTCGGGAGCTGAAGGAGGTGTTTGCATCATGGAAACAGCAGTGCCTCAAAAGGGGAAAGCAGGATATCAGCGAACGCCTGATCAGTGCCTCACTATTCCTCCGGTTCCTTTGTCCAGCCATCATGTCTCCAAGTCTCTTCAACCTCATGCAGGAGTACCCTGATGATAATACCTCTCGTGCACTCACACTAATTGCAAAGGTTATTCAAAACTTAGCAAATTTCACAAGGCAGGTGATTTTTTATTATCATTAAGGGATTTGCTGTATTTTATCGTTGTGATGTGTTATTTCATAGGAATGATTTGGCAACAGCTGTAAGTTACAGCTGTTTTGCTTCATCTCTATTCAGAGTATATGGAGACCCATATATATACTGAAATACCATGCTTAAATATATACATTTTGAACGTTAAATTTCTCTGTTTCAGATCAAAAAGCTACAAAAACATTATAAACAGAAGTCCCCACTTGAATAATAGGATGTAGGATGGTGGAGCGTGGTAATGGAAGGCTTGGATCCCCCCAGCCGAACTATTTTCTCTGGAGCAATGTTAGATGGGTTACATCCTAGGCCAGTGTTTAGAGAAGAGGAATCAACCTGTCCTTAGCCCCAGATGCTGGAATGGAAAGCTGTTTAGCTGTCACTAGTGGTGTCCATGATCATACTACATTACTTTCCCCGATAGAAGCAAACCCCACATCTTTTTATTTGGTACTGTGTGTTTTGATATTGCAGAAGTAACTGCAGTATGAACCTCCCTCTGAATGCAACTGATTTACTGCCCCCATGGGTACTGAGAGATCTTTTTACCCCAGAGCTTCAGAAAAAGAATTTTCCTCAAGACAGCAGTAAAAGATAACATACCAATTCATTCCTGTGTCTTTACTATGGTCCCATTGTCTACCACCTTTTCTGACTCCAGCTGATACAGTTTCTCATTTCAATAATCGGCATTTAACCTTATGTGTAGTTTGGACTTCACTTGCTACTAATACAGATTGGGGCCAGAGAAGATAATAGAGATAATGGTATTATTAACAGGCAGCCTCCTGTTCAGTTTTTCCTTTTTTCAATTCTAATCTTGGACAAATAAACTTTGTAAAGCCAAGAAAACCTCTAAGGATTGTTCAAACACAGATTGGGGGGGGGGGGCGGGGGAGAGAATGCATACCAGGGACAAAAGCCTGCTCTCTCATGCTAACTTTGTCTCTGTATAATGACTGCCTGCAACATTATTTAAATGGGTATAAATGTGGAAGTTGCCATTCAGTTACAGAAATATTGTTTTGTGTCTTTGAATATCTTAAGGAACGTTGTGAGACCACCCTGTTTCCCTTGGATACTTCCTGCCAAACTTCCTGACTTTCTTTCTCCTCTCTCTCTTCCTGTTTTTCTCTCTCCCCAAATCAGGTTTGGGAACAAAGAAGAATATATTACCTTTATGAATGGCTTTCTAGAGCATGAATGGGGAAATATGAAATGCTTCTTGGCAGAAATTTCTAATGAGGACACCATTTCTAATAAGCCAGGATTTGGAGGATACATAGATCTGGGAAAGGAGTTTGCTGTCTTGCATTCTTTGCTGTGGGAAGTAGTCTGTCAGCTGGACAAGGTAATCAAGTCTGAAAGCTGGGGAGGGATGGCTGGACTGCAGAGTCATTTAGTAAGAATAACTTTATTCTATCCAAGGAGTGTCCATGAACTGCCTCCTGGGAAATGGTTAAAGTTAACTTACAGTAAGGGATTATAAAGTCTGTCCAGTTCCTAAAAGAACATAGACTAAGAGCATCAGGAATCTGTAGGAAAACAGTGGTGAAATGAACTGGTGCTGAACTTTCACCACTTTGGGCTTGAGTTGTTGCATTTTTAAAAAATCCTTCCTAAATTCTATTTAAAGCAAATGGAAATATTTTCCCCCATCCTATCCACCATTTACATTGCTTGAAAACAATTCTGTTTTAAAGAAAGTTATGTTTGATTCCTTACCTTCTCCCAGAATAAAAACCATGCTCAAATGGTTTGGAGAGAGCCAGTTTGGTGTAGTAGTTAACACACCAGGCTAGAAACTGGGAGACCGTGAGTTCTAGTTCTGTCTTAGGCACAAAGCCAGCTGGGTGACCTTGGGCCAGTCTCTCTCAGCCCTGGGAAGCAGGCCATGGCAAACCACCTCTGAAAAACCTTGCCAAGAAAACTGCAAGGACTAGTCCAGGCAGTCACCAAGAGTCAACTCTGATTTGTATATCCATACACACACACGCATACAAACATTCCTAACTGGTGCTGTTTCCTTTTCTGAGGATCATCAATGATGATCAGGCAAAGAGATATCATCATCTGTGGAAGGATCACTTGCGATCCAATCCAGGAAGTTATGGAATACTTTTTGACCAGTGTAGTTGTGTTTATATACAAATGATAAGCTTAATGTTTATTCCTGTCAGTAGTTATAAGACAAAGTCTGATTTAAATACCTTTGTATATGTACTTTGCATTTTCTTGTGATTTATTTCAGTGCTCTTGCATAATTGCTGGTCTCAGACTATATCAGCATGCACTCAACTGACCACAACGTCTCCTGCAGACAAAAATTTCCTTCCAACAAAAATGCCTTTTTAGTTTTCTGAATTATACTTTAATTTAGTAGTGATTTTAGTATTACTCCATCCCACCCTGTCCCCACTACCCTGAGCTTTGATTGCAGTTTGCTTTGCAGGATAGATTTGCATTAGTTTTATGAGCGTTAACTTTTTGTTTTGGAGGATACATTTTTAATTTCTATTTCCTTTTCTTTCCTCAATGTCTGCTGCACCCTGTTCGTCTCCTCCATCCATCTGGTCATCGTGGTGCTGCTGCTGCATATCAATGCATTGTGGTCTTTCACACCCACACACAAATGCCCATCTTCCTTCTTTACAACCCACATTCATCCATCCACATTCATCATTGTTTAATTTTAAAAAATCTGAAATGATGGATGCCACGGTGCTTATTGTCAAATCAGGGTGAAAATTCCTTCCTACAGGCAACGGTAGAAAAATTGGGACCTTTGCCACGCATCCTCACTGACATTGCAAAGGCTACGACAAACCCTATGCCAATCCAGCAACAGTTGAGACGTTTGGCAGATCATAATTCAAGCCCCAATGTCAGTCTCTCTTCTGGGCTACAAAAAATATTTGAAGACCCTGCTGACAGGTATGCACTGCCTGGCTATTGCTGAAATGATGTGGAAGAAAGATAGATGCATATCTTGTTCAACTTGATAGGAAAAGCAAGAACTAAAATTCAGAGTAATTAGAGCAAATACCTCTATCATAAGAGCAGGGCTTTGCTTAAAACAAAGTTATGATAGTGCGTTATCCCCCTAGCTGGATAATTGGTTTATCCAGCCCAGTGTTTTCGACTCTACATGTGCTTTTAAAGTAGCAAACTTTATCCAGGTTTGCTACTTGAGATCTTTTTAATTGGCAATAATAGGATGAGATCTTCTGTGTGCAAACATGTACTCTATCAATGTGAACTATAGCCTCTCCTTTAAACTCAGAAACTGTATAAATGTGTGTGTGAGAGAGCGAGAGAAAGCAAGAGTGAAGTGGAATAACATTCAAAAATATATCTGCAACTTACAGTCTGAAGAGGTACAATCCAAAATTCTACTGCAACAATTTAAGAGTTTCTGCAAACTGCCAATAAGCTTTGGTCACAATTAACACCGTTTAATCAGATATTGTACTGATAATGTGATAAGAGGAGTATTAAGGGTAGATAACTTGTATGCAAACATGGCACCCTGCTGATAAGTCAAGAATTTATTTTCTTGTATTAACTGTATTTAACGTGGTATAATGATAAGAACATTCTTGCTACTTCATAACAGTAATCCTTAACAACAAAAGTAGGCTAATCGTATCTTCCCCTTTAATGAGGAGGCTTTCTGAATCATGGATTGGACGTCATACTACCCTGTTTACTGTATAGGAGTTCTCATTTCAAAGCAAAAATTGAAAAGACACTGCCTCATTTTCTCAAGTTTTTTTTCCTTTTAATGCAAGTTATAAATATCTATTGCTATGACAAATAAGGACTCCCTGTTCACCAACAAGGGGGCAAGCTATGCTTGGTTTTTATCTTACCTTTTATGTCACAAATGATTAATAAGGCATGCTGGACAGACAGAACCTCTTTAGAATGATTAAGGTTTAACTTTTATGTGCTTTATATTTTTTGTCCGTACAAAAGTATAGACATCTGAAAGAAGTAATTTCTCTCGATTATGACCTTTCTATTTACGCTTATGAGTGGAGCCATTAATGGAAATACAAAACAAAAATAAAAACAGTAGAGTGTATAGTTTCTATGGTTCACCTGCAACAGGGAGCCTTGTGAATAGACTGATTCAGGCTAAAAATATTAAGATTAGAATGCTAAAATGAAATATAAAATGAAATTACAGGTTAGGCATTGCATTTGAGATAGCTACCAGGGTGAAGCCAAATGCTCCTTTTCAGAACAACATTGCTCACTTAAGCAGCCAGCAACTCATCTCTTTGAACAATCATTGCTTCTGAATGGGAGCTTGGTTCCATTCCCATTCAGAAATGACACCACTGCCCACCTAGGCTATTCCACTTAGATAGCCCATAATATGGAGATTAATATGGAACCATTCCTGAGAAATTGCTTAAGCAGAAATAGGTGTGTGTACATGCAGATAAACAGATATAATCTTAAGATCATAATTATTTTGATTGTCTCTCAGTGAACTCAAGTTGAAGTCTGCCCCTCCAGAAAATGAAGCGTATTTCAAAGGCAAATTGCTTTTGATGCAGCAAACCTCATCCCGGAGTGTGACTTATTCAGATCAAGGTGACGAGACCAATCTGCCCAATGTCCGAAGCATATCACTGATGAATCTCCAGGATCCCAATGTCACACAGTGTGAATCTGGATCCATGATGCACGATGCCCCTGTACGTTTATCTGGCAGCCAGATTTCAGTCATCCAGGTGGCAAATATCAAGCAGCTCCATAGAACACCACAGACTGCCCCCCAAGTCAGGAGACCTCTTCACTCAGCACTAAACCAGCAAGGCATTCTTCAGGCCCTTTTTTTCCAGAATCCAGTTTATCATCTCAACAATTCTCCTCAGCCAATGCCTAAAGTATCCATGGAATCTAGCCTGGATAACCTGAGTGTCACCAGTTCCCGAAGCCAGAACAGCGAAGACCTTAAACTCAGTGTGCCCAGCAATAGCAGCATGGAGGATTATGCCAAACGTAGCACCCAGAATGAAGATTTTTCTGGGCGGGGCCCTATACTGGACAAACAAGCTATGCCACCTCAACCGAATAGCACTCTGCAGACCCAAATCCACAAAATGGACCAAGTAGGGCCCACTGCAATGGTCAGAGCACCCCACTCACTTCCCCACAGTGCTTCTCTTCGAAGTACAGGCAGCATGTCTGTAGCATCTGCCACGATGGCAATGGAACCTCTTCAGGAGGGGAATCAGTCCCGGCAGCAGTCTTCCTCCTCCCGAGAAAGCCCAGTTCCCAAAGTCCGAGCCATCCAACGGCAGCAAACACAACAGGTAGGATTATCTGCTTTTTTAAAAAAATCCCTAAATAGGAGACTATATTTTTAGGATACATATTTTGTAGACATATGATCTGCAATATTTTTGTGGTATGTACAATGAGAGATTATTTGCAACTGGCTCCTTTGGGATCATGAACAAGAAGGGTTTGTGATATAGACAGATAGTCCTCTTCATCCATGGTGTCATTAGCCATGGTTTTGCTACCCACAGTAAAGTCTTTCTCATTTCTGGACTTTATTCCTTGCATGAAATGGCAGGCATCCTTTCACAGATGCATAAAGTACATTTTTCACAGCCTTGGTATTTGCGGTACTAAAGTTGGAATGGTGCCCCAGAGAGTAACGAAGACTGTTCGTAGTTTGGTCTGCCTCTTCAGCCTCTATGCTGTCTGTTCCTTGGGCAACAGCTGTTCTGAGGCACATGAATAGAGTTGTGTCTCCAGCAACAAGCAAAATAATCACACTATCTCATTCTTGGGCTTGACATTTGGCACATTTACAAAAAAGATTAAAGGCATATGATATTCAGTGAATAAACTGTGTGCCTCTTATATGTATGCATCTGTGTGTATATATAAGAGAATTACATATGTATGCCTATGTGTGTGTATATAAGAGAGGAAAAAATAACTTCAAATGGAAAATATAGTATACATGAATAGAGAATTTTTTTTTTTGGAATGATAAAGACATGTTTCAGAAATAGGGAGGAAATGATATCAACTATTTACTAGTTTACCACCATAATTACTGATTATAAGATATATAATGTACATTGAATGATCAAATAGTCATTTTTAATTATTAAGCATACTGGTTTCCTTTGATCCTCTCAGCCTTTCTAGGCAGGCACTTCTAATGCTAAGAAAAAATAATTTTGAATGGATGGAAAACGATGTTGGTTTGTATTTTATTTATTTATCTATTTATCTATTTATCTATTTATCTATTTATCTATTTATCCATTCATTCATATTTATATAGCCGCCCATCTCACAAAATGTGATTCTGGGTGGTGCACAATAAAAAAAAATTTTTTTTTA